GCGCGTTAGGTGGTACCTCATTGTGGTTTTGATCTGCATCTCCCTTACAATGAGGGATGCTGGGCATTTTTTCATATCCTTTTTGGCTGTTTGCACATCTTCCTTAGAGAGTGGTTTAATTAGCTCATTTTCCCATCTTTTAATTGGGTTAATCATTTTCTTCCAGGTAAGTCACTTGATTTCCCTGTGTATTCTGGTTACCAGTTCCTTATCTGAGGCACGGTTAACAAAAATTCTCTCCGTTTGCTAGGGTTGTCGATTCACACTAATTACAGTGTCCTTTGCTGTGCAGAAACTTCTTAATCTGATGTAATCCCACCTGTCTATTCTGGGGATTATTGCCTGTGCTTTGGGGGTCTTAAGAAGTCTTTGCCTACCCCAATGTCTCCCAGAGTTTCCCCAGTGTTTTCCATCAGTAGTTTTATAGTTTGCGGTCTTAAGTTTAGATCTTTGGTTGTTTTTTGTTTGTTTATCTTGTTTTGTTTTGGAGAGGCTTTTTTGTTATAGGGCATGTGTGCTCTCCAGAAAGACAGAGAGAGACAGAGAGACAGAAAGCAAGAAATAACCCCCCAGGGAGGTGGTCACAATGCAATCCATTCTCCTCTCTGGATCTTGGGAATGCACTCACATGCCTGGCCTGAGTTTAAGCTACCAGGTCCAGGACTCAAACCACAGTTGGCTACATGGGAGTTCAGGGAAATAGCCATTAAACCAACTGCTGGTCCCAAGTTTAGATCTCTGATCCACTTTGAGTTGATTTTTGTTAACGGTGGCAAATAGAGGTTCAGATTCATCTTTCTGCAGGTGGATATCTAGTTTTTCCAGCACCACCTACTAAGCGGTTTCCCATTTCTTGCTTTATTGTCTCGTACCCTTTGACAAAGATCAGTTGGCTGTATGCTTTGGAGTTTATTTCTGGGGTCTCTACTCTGTTCCATTGGTCTTTGTGTCTATTTTTGTGCCAATACCATGCTGTTTTCATTATCAGAACTTTGGAATATACTTTGGGGTTACGGAGTGAGATGCCACCCACTCCACTGTTCTTGTGCAGGATGGGTTTGGCAATACAGGGTCTTTTATGATTCCAGACAAATTCTATGACTGTCTTTTCTAGATCTGTGAAGAATGTCTCTTGTAATTTTTTGAGGACTGCATTAAATCTTTGTGGTTAATTAGTCCTCTTACTTCTATATAATGCCCTTCTTTGTCTCTTACCATTTTTTTCTTAAAGCCTATTTTGTCCAAAATCAGTATAGTGGCTCCTGTTCTTTTTTAGTTTCCACTTGCATGGAATACCTTTGTCCAGCCCTTCACTTTTAGTATGTCTTTATCCATGAGATGAGTTTCTTGTAGGCAGCTGATGGAGAGTTTCTGAGTTTTAATCCAGTCAGCCAGTCTGTGTCTCTAGATCAGAGAATTTAATACACTGACTTTCAATGTTATTATTGATATTTCCACACTTGTCCCTACCATTAGGTTGGCTATATTCTTGGTTGTTTTTTGTTCTCTTATTGCTGTCTGTCTCTCTTTTGTTTTCTTAGTATAGTACTCCTTTCAGAATTTCTTGAGGAGCTGGTCTGGAGTTGGCAAATTCTATCAGGTTTTGTTTATCGAAGAACATTTTTCTTTTCTTTTCCCATATGAAGGATAATCTTGCCAGGTATAGTATTCTTGGCTGAAATTGTTTTTCATTTAACATTCTGAATATATTTCTCCATTCTTTCCTTGCTGCATTGTATCCGATGAGAGGTCCAGTGTTAGTCTGATGGGATAGCCTTTGTAAGTGATTTGACGTTTCCCTCTTGCCAATCTTAGTATCTTGTCTTTGTCGTTTTGGTCAATCTAGGTATGATGTGGTGTGGAGAGGATATTCTTGGATTGATTCTACTTGGGATTCTTTGTATTTCTTGGGTCTGGATGTTTGAGTGCCTCTCTAGACTTGGAAAGTTTTCTTCCAGAATTTTGTGGAATAGATTGTCAATGCCCTTACTAATTTCATCACCTTCTGGAATACCAATTTTCTGGATGTTGGGGAGGTTTATGGTATCTAGTATTTCTTGTACATTATCCTCAGTTTTCTTGCCTGTTTTCTCAGTATTTTTGATCATTTTTTCTAGGTCACTGTTTTTGTCTTCTACATTTGAAATTCGATCTTCTGCATGGTCAAACCTGCTTTTGATACCTTAAAAGGAGGTTTTGATTTCCTATATTACAGGCTTCATTTGATTCTTTTTTATGGTGTCCAATTCTTCATTTTGTGGAATGACTTCCTCATCTCTTGGAGCTCAATGTCTCTTTTCTCTTGCATCTCATAGAATTTTGGTACCATAAATATTCTAAATTCTGTTTTTGACATTTCAGTCAAAATCCTCTAATTTTTCCCTACTTGGAAACAAGTTACAGTGTTCCCTTGCTGGAGA